GGTCTTGTTGATGGGTGATTGGCGTTTTGGATAATGACTCCTCTGTAGAAACAGTACCAGGGTATACGTGGAATGACTGGAATTCTCTGGAATAGCAATCACTGGTATTCGTGCGTTGGCTTGGAGGGATCTTTGTGGGGATGTAACTTTTGGAATATAGCTCTGATTGACTTACTTCCAAGCACAATAGTGCTTGTCTTGATGAGCTTGATACAGAGATGATGTTAGTTTATGCTTTTGTTGGTTTGGTTAGTAATCTGTGTTTTGTAGTGACAGATCCAGTGGCGGGGCTCCACTTGGTTTCGGTCCCGCTTGGAAAAGTTGTATCGACCACTATATCCGGAGCATGTACTCGTCCAGTGCAGGTCGCTTCCCCAAGGTGGACATTACAGTTGCGCCCATTGCTTCAGTGGTCAATCCAACCACGCCTCCTGGGATCAGGCTGCCAGGAGACAGCAGGACAACACCACAATCTGCCAGCCCAACCACCATGCACGGCCCTCAGAACAATTGGAGCAGGAACCAGAGCCCCATGTCCCTCTATCAGCTCAGTGTTGTCAACCAGTGGTTGGATTCTTCAAAGAAACTAAGTACCAAGCAGGAGGAAGTCTTCCATAACTCAGTCAGACATGCAATCGAACACTATGGTAGCGCCGCCAATACAGACAACGTTGCCGAGCTCGCTGCCGAATCATTCGATCGAATGCACTTCAACATGATGGGGCAGGGTAATGCTGGTCTCAGGGGTAGGCTGAGGCCCCAGCATGCCAAAGCTTTGCTCAGAGAGGGGGGTATGCTAGTTCAGATGGCCGCCATCAATCAACATGCCGCTGGAAAGAGAAAGGCTGCTCCAAAGCAAGGCGGTCTGACCAAAGCCAAGCTGTTGGACCCTCCACAAGCTTCGCAGACATGAAGAATTGGGCCAGGGTTCTGGGAAAGTCCATCCAAAAGACAAAGCCAAAGATGAAAGAGGTTCTGCTGCAGTGCTTTGAGGGTCAGCCAGAAGGCCATGTGTTCCACTCCCATTAGCTAGCTAGCTAGCTTGGTGGTTGGGCCCAAGGGCCCAATCTTTGAACTTCTAGGCCCCCTGCGGAGGCCCATCCTTTGAACTTCTAGCTTTAAAAAATTTTCAGTGCAGGGCAGATTTCAAACCCATCACCCCTAAAATAGGGGCGTTTTCAATGTATTTTGAGTGCAGTCCCATTTACTGTTTGGGGCGGGTTTGAAATCCGCCCCTAAATATTAGGGGCAGTTTCTTCTAAGAAACTGCCCCTAAAATAGGGGCTGCCCCTAAAATAGGGGCGTTTTCACCATTCAGGGGCAGGTTTGGAATCCGCCCCTATTTTAGGGGCATGGTGAAAACGCCCCTATTTTAGGGGCAGTTTCTACTTAGAAACTGCCCCTATTTTCCTATTTTAGGGGCGTTTTGCACGACTGAGGGACGCTCCAGGCTCTCCTCAATTCACAATCGGTCAACTTCGATTAGACAGCGCAAATATGTTTATGTCCTACCCAACCCTCAGTTGAGTCTCCGACGCTTTGCACGCGACATTCGCAATGATCTCTGGTAATCCCCATAAATGAAATCGCCGTCAACAGTGATGGTGGCATCGTCCGCAAAAATTGCATTGCCCTCCTGGTTCTGCAAGAGGCGTACTCTACCAGAGCGTCCCATGTGGTGGTGTATTCCGGTGGAGCACCCAACACGCCGCCTTCAGTCTCTCATTGCGGCAATCCCACAAAGTGTGGCAAGTTCTCCTGGCCCAAAACTGGAAAATGGTTTGTGAGTGAAATGTGACACCGAAAACCTGCCGCACTGACTTCTGGTGTTTCTGGCGGTGTTTTACGGCCCTGCTGAGCAACCCAGAAATCAGTACTAAATGCAAGGAAAATGCCAGCAGTGTCATCCTCCAATGTGTCGCCCCATGAGCGAATCCATTGCACGCCATCTTTATTGATCAATGCGATTGTCATACCACCACTGTCATTGTCTGCCTTGCCGTAGAGCTTTGCAATGAGAACACAGATATTTGTGGCAACCCCACAGCTAAGCCACTGGGCTGTTTTCCCCAATAAAGTGTTTGGATCGCCGCAACTGCCCAATAGCTGGCTGTCACCCACCTCAACAAAAAGCATAGAGTGATTCATAAAACCTTGCGGTCCATCTCCCAACTGTATGTTACCATCTGGGGCCATGTCGTGATCCAAATCCGGGATATCAAAAGTCGGAGCACCTCCAACATAGAAAAAGTTGAGACCTAGGGCACGAATCCCAATTTTCAGTTGCGTGTTGATTTCTAGCTAGTGCAACGCCCTCGTGCACCAAACCCGACCCGAATTCAACAATGCACAAGGAGTTTCCGTCACCGCGACCCATTTCAAACGGAGACCGAGACTCTCCACCAATTCCAGGGCCGCCCTTGCTCCGCCACCTTCTTGCAATTCAGTAACAACACATACAGGCATGTCACCAACAGAATTCTTCCGGATAAAATTCTTCAAGAGCTTGGACTTGTTGTCGTCATCCTGGGACATTAATGCCCTAAAATTGAGCAAAGTAAGTGGCTTTGACTCGTCCAACAATGCACTGCTGAAATCCTATTTCGTAAGTGATAATCTCCCTTCCTTGGGTTGGCGTCGTAGCGTGGTTAGCTTCGACTAGACCTTTGGAAGACGTGCAATGGCAAACAGTAAAAGAGAATATTATGAGCATTACGATCTATCAAGTCTATTGGGTTTCGTTGTCAAGGTTCGGACTGATAGAAATGGAACGGCGCAAGCCAGCATCGGCTTTTGGTTCAAACATGGCGCCTATTCGACTCGGGTAGGATCGAGACATGAGTGCTAAATGGGACCACGGTGTATCCATCGTGGACCACAGTGTGGAATACGCTGCGCAGACTATGTGCGCTCTTCCGGTACTCATGAACTCTATCCCTTGACCTCCGACTGGGGTGAGTCACTGGTCTTCTGAGTCGTGGGAGAAAACGCCTCGTTAACACTCCCCTCATTGGCGACCTTCGACTCTTCTTTGTTCTCAGTCTGGAGGATCTTCGCAGTATCTCCTTTCCAAAACAATAAGGGTTGGAGCTGTGACCAAACCGACGAGTAGTCCCAGTGTTTACTAAGGATATCGGCAGGGTTATGCTCCCCTGGAATGTGATGGAAACGGAGAATTTTCGCAGCGATAGATTCCCGTGTCTTGTGGTACGAGAGTGCATTGTGTCGCTTCAAGATCTTGGAATGAGGCATTGACGCAGTGTTGACGACTGTCTCATTATCTCCAAACATCATAGTAGACGTCTCAATGGGCACTCCGAGGTACCGCATGGTGTTGCGAAGATCGATGATCTGCTCTGTCGCAGTCCTTGCGGCGACATATTCGGAACCAAATGTGGCGGTCTCCACGGTATACTGTATTTTTGTGTACCAGTCAATAGGAGTTTTGTTCGCAAGGTGTAGGATGCCGGTGACGGAACGTCCGCTAATCAGATCATGATAAAGGTTCGCGTCCACGTAGGCAGTGAGTTGTACTCGCTTGCCGCGTGGTTGTGGTGCATTGTCAGGGATCAACTCCATGGCACCGTGGTAGCACGAGTATTCCCAGTCGTGCTTCTTCTCGGGTACATCCGAATAGTCAGGTTCTTCCTTCCTGATGCCTTTAATGCCATGGCGCATCTTAGAGAGATATCCACAGATTCATTTGACTCTGTCGAGGTGTCCTTGCCGTGGTGCGGCGCGGAATCGTGACAGTGTCATCACGTCAGTTCCGATATCAAAGCGTCCAATCTGGATCGCCCATTGTAGGCTGCCGATGAGCTACTGGTAGATTTTCTGGTTCTCAATGTCCAGTAGCTCTGACGTATCGATCTCTGGGTGATCACCTTTGACCAGTGGTGACGAAGCCTGACGTGGCATTTGTCCGAAGATGCGTTGATAGTTCCCGAGTACTTTCTCGATGTACTTTCGGGGTGCATAGCACAGCACTCCATCATCATCACGAAAGAAGTCACATCCAAGGTGGAATTCAATAGGGCCTGTTCCCTTGAGTTTGAACTTGTGTGTCTTCTCGAGGATAGTGATGATGGCTTGTGATGTCTTGCTAACGATCAACAGGTCATCGACGTACACAGCAATGTACTTGTAGTGATCTCCTTTGTCTCGCATCCAGATGTCGGGTTCGGCTTTTTGGACGGGAAGAATCCCATTGAACGTAGGACGTCCGCGAAGCGCTCATGCCATCGTAGTCCGGATGACTTGAGTCTGTACAGTGCTCTACTTTTTCACGGGAAGCCGAACACCGAAGCGCTTCCCCTCTGGATCTGTCACTACAAGAACAACACCACTAATAGCAACAAACACAACCAATCGGTCATACCTATACCATTACACTACCTATTAGCACCATTAGAAGCATTGAAACGAAGCGAAAGGACCTCAGGAAGCCTGTTTTCTGTTATCTTGTTGAAGAGTACTGTTTTACTATAGGATTCAACTCAACGTCATCACGGAAAACATACACCCCTTTTTCCTCTCTTTATCTCTCATTCAAGCCCTCCGGTTGACAGGATCGACACCTCCTCTGGTATCTCCTATCAAGCGCACCTCTCCTATCAAGCGACTATCAAAGCGGCCTTCCCCGGTTCAGATTAGAAAGCCATCCCAATTGAAATCCTACGAGATCGGGCAGGTTTTCTATTCTCGACCGCCGACGGCCAAGTTGGAAGAATTTGACCACAAGAAGACGTCTCCGGTCTTCCACAGCACAGTACAGAAAACAATTCCCATACGTATTTGTTGTTTTCTGAACTATGCTCCTGACGACCGACGAAATCCCATTGTCGGCCGATCCTCTTCTTCGAACGATCGATCCTCCTCCTCCACCAGCAACAACAGGCTCGGTTAACCTTACCCCTAAGGCAACCGGTGACGTTGATTCGAATCGAATCCTCTGAATCGAATCAACCTTCCGAATCGATCCCAGACTCGCTAATCCGTGAATCGATCGAATCTTCCCGCGACCGTACCTCTTCCCCGTACCTCCTCCGAAAGCCTCCCACTATCAAGAAGGACTTCACGAGATACCTGCAGTGACCACCAAGAAGAGAATTACACCTGTATTCTTACTTTCTCACCGGCCACTAGTGGTTTCTCCCGACGTCCTTGTTGGAACTGATACCTCCTGCTACTGTTACCACCCCTCCATTGATATCTAACTCCTCCCCAAGAGGAACAACAAACAACAACAGAGTTCCTGTAAGGACTTGAGTTCTTGTATCTCCAGGCTTGGCTGCATATTTTAGAGTTTTCACAGCCCCTCCCTGAGATACCCAGCTCCCCTCCAAAGGATCTCACCCCCACAAGAACAAACTACAAAAGCTGCCCCTCTAGAGCATCTGGCTAGATTGTGCAACACTTCATTGACACAGCCACCTCTCTGCTACTGCACCTGACTCTCCTACTGAGCGTGGAGCTCCAAAGGATTGAGCCCCAGACAGAACTGCAGCGTGGTGTGGCATAGATATTAATACATAACTGACTCTTTCTCTCTCTCATTGATTGTTGAGTGACTCTCCAGTGACTTTCCACAGTTCCACCTGAATCGAGTACCCTCTCCACATCTTGACTTGACTCTCTGTTACAAGGTGGCCCTTGCAACAGATTGAGTACCAGCCTTTGAGACAACACAGTGTCATCCAGTAATACAGCCCCATCAACCAACACACCCCTTGACCCCCCCCCCTCCCCACTGCCTCTACTGCTATAGCGTGACTTCTCCAGTTCTCCCTGAAAGAATCCCTAACAGCCTTTGGCTCTTATACCACTCTTTCCTCAGGTAGTGGTATACCTGCATCAGACTTGGCCACAGCCTTTGATCAGTGGCAACAACAACCCACAACTTGATATAAACTTGATTACCAGTGCCTCAGTGCATTGCCCCTTGAATAAAACCCTCTACATCAATCCTCCGCCACCTCAAAAGCAACCTCATTGCTTGAGTTGAAGCAACGACACTACGCCAACACTCCAGGATACACAACTCTCCCACCAACCCAACTACCACCCACCATGACTTCCCCATGCCTACCCACACTTCACTCAAACCCAGGTCCTTCCAGACACCCCCCCACTCCCACACTTCACCCAACCAACCACATCCACATCCTCCGCAGACTCACAACACCACTCCCCAGATGATCAGCCAACAGCTCCTAGAGCAAGCAGCCATCTTGAGGATCACACCCTCCGAATCACACCCTACCCTATCGGGGAGGATGCCTTTGTTCTCACCTTGAAACAGGCACGCTCTATCCTACAACACACCCACAACCTAGCACATCCCAACTCCTACAACCAACACCCCAACACCAACAGGATCTCCTCTCCTGCCTCTGGCACCGCCCACTCCCAGTGCCCCCTTATCCTCCTCCTTCTATTGACTCAATAACCCCTCGAACAGCCCACAACACTCCAGCAGCCACTGTGTCTCCCTCCTCTGGGAACCACCAGACTGCCAGTGTGTCATTTGACCCCATCTTTTGCCTGCTTGTTGGCCTCTTTTAACAATTTTTGTGCATTGGTGGTTTCACCCTGCTCTGTCCAGCTGAGGAGTACCACCTCCAACGGGCTCTGGCTGGCATCTTTGCCTTGCATGCCAAGGCCTTGCCACAGCTTGGGACTGATCACCCAGACACACTTTCTGGCGAGCACTCTTTGGTTGGCAATCTAACTGGTCCTCACGGCCCCTTTGGTGATATGGTTTCAATACCGACAAAACCTGTGTAAGCCCTGTAACCCAGGTTTTGCGCTCAGGTTCCCTATCAATGTGCTCACCCCCTACCCAGGGCATCTGTCACTTGGTGCTGGCTCCACGTTGGGCCAGGTGATGAGGTCATGTTGATTGGGCAAACAAGTAGATGACGACTCAGCTAGGTGGGGGCTTCCCCAACCACTTGCCCGCTCATAAAAAAGCCACTCGGGCATAGTTTTCAAACTAATGAGTAATTTACACCCCGAGTCTCGTACGTCTCGTGAGATGATCAGCGTGCATCCTTCCGATCGCCAATTCGGGTCCTGCGATCACGTACACTTTCTCCTTCGTGTATGAATCAAGGTAAGCGTTTCCGACATCGGTTGCCCATACTGCACATCCATTCCAGTTCCGGTAGGAACGTAAGGAGTCTAATCCCTTGTAACGATACCATGCTGGAGTAGACAGATCACAGTAGTTCCGTGAGATGTCCTCCAGCAACAATCGTGCGTTGTGGCTGACGACGGGATACAGCTAACAATTCAGCTTTACAGCTTTATCAATTGCGGGCCTATTCTAGAAAAAATATAATAACTGCCACTTATTTGGAAATACAAACTTTACATCTCTTAGATCTTAGATTAATGCAATGCCACAATGGTATTTCGCTGGTAGCATGCGAGGTTAGAGATTGTTACTCATTCTTATTCTTATATGTCTATGCCCTATGGTTGTATATGGAATGAGCTATCCCTTTTGCAGAGTCCTGAGTTTCCTCTCATTA